GAGAGAGAGAGAGAGGGGGAGAAAGGGTACGCGAAGCGTTCGGAGCCGAGACGCCGCCTTCTTCCATTAATCTCGCCGCAATCGAAATTAGCATAATTGACGGAGCGGAGAATAGCGGCCTGTTCGACTCCGAAACGCCATCTCGCATAATCTCTCCATATATCTCACTCAGTGTTTTCCGATAAAGCACGCATCCGCGAAAGGACCGTCGACCGTCCCTCGACGGAGATATCCCGTACACCCGTGTCGTAACAATACTTTCCGCAAATAGACGGGGTCTCGCATGATCAAAGGAGAAAAATCGTCTCGAGGGAGAGACGCTCGAAATGCAATGGAATGAAGTTCGATCGGTCTCGCGAATTCTCATGATTTGCCGAAAACCGCGACTCCTTGCGCGTTCTGTATTCGCCGTCGCGAAAATATGCGCGTCGTTTGTATTCACGATACGCGCAGAGAAACTTAAATTGCCGCGATTAAACTCGACACCGCGCGCGGCGCGGCGCGGCGCGCGCGCGCGACGGGAGATTAATGAATTTTCGGAAGCGTAAAATCTCTCCCGATACTCTACGCGGCAATGTTTCTACTCTCTACGCGGATCGATCTGCGAATTTCGCGGCGCGTTGTTCGACTGGTTTTAATAAACGAGCGGGCGAAGGGAATGCAGATCGCGCGCACGAGATATATAGGATAGCTACATCTCGGTGGACCGCGGGAACGAACCGACGGCTTTTTCTCGCCCTCATCCGTCCCTTTTTCTCTCCCTTCTTCCATCATCGTCTCTTTCTCCCTTTCTCTATCTTTCTCCCTCTGTCTCTTTCTCTTTCTTTCGCTCCCTCTTTTTCCCTCGCGCGCGCATCTCCTTGAGCAAGACGTATCGACGCGGATTTTTTTCCGCGTCAGTCATTTATCAAAGCCCTTCGTTCTCGGCCGTACCCCACCCACTCGATACACACGGATCCGACCGAAGGATTTAGGCAAAGAGACTAGACGAAGGTGGAAAAGGAAAGGGGTGGCGGACGGTAGGAAGAAGAGGGGGGGGGGAGGGATGTACCCTTCCTCGGACCGCATCCGGCAGTAACGGATCGAGACACCATAGAATCTCCGATCCTCTTTCCGTTATTAGCGACACAGTCCGCGAGAGAAGATAATCTCGAGATAGAGACGGCCTACGTTCATCAGCGGCTTTCACCCCGTTCTTTTTCCGACGTCCGCGTTCGGCGCGATCAAATCTTTCGGCTGTGACGAATAACGGCAAAAATACAGACGGACGTGTCGGAAGGTACGACGTAACGCGTCGCGAACGCGTCGATAATTAAGGCCGAGGCATTAATCCAGAAAAAATTCGACGGCCGCGCGCTGCAGTTTCCCCAACGTTGGCCCGGGCAATTTTTGCCCGGCCACGTCCTCGCACGCAATCTTTTCCCGAGGAGAGCTTCACTTCCGCCTCCTGTCCTCCGCCTCCCCCCGTTTCCCTTTCGCAAGGGCTCGATCGAGTATCGGATGCTTGTGGTTTTAACGCGAGCGCGAGCGAAGGAGATCGAAAACGTTACGGTAAATCCTCCATCGACTCGACGACCTACAACGCGCGCGCGACTCACACCTGTCCGATCCGCCGCGTAAGCGCCTTCCATTTCCGGAGAACATTGCGCGGCGCCATTGTAAAAATCTGCCGGGATAAAAGATTAGAGGAACCGGGAACATTGCACCATGACGGATCTGTCCGCGTTCCATCAAGTCGCGATAATAACCGAACCACGTTGATTCGTTTTCATTTCACGTACATTTCATCCCGTTCTGTCTTTTATCTTATCCGTGATTTTCTCGGTCTACATGTGCTACATGTCATGCGACAATCAAGTAAATTCACTCTTTTTATATAAAAAGACGTGCGACATCAATTCGGCGGTCGTTAATTTACAACGAGGTCTTCGAGCGCGTAGGTGACGCGCGACGAAAATGACACGTGGCGACAGCATCGGACTGCTGGTTGCAGCTGAACCCAACAAGACGTATCTTTTTCTATCTCCCACTCCGCTTTCTTTGCAGATCACTTCCGAGCTTCTATAAACTCCGAATGGTGATGCGTGAACGCGGACGCGAGTGCCGCGCGACCTTTTGTTATCTCCTTTGAAAGAGACGCGAGTGCATATTGCATTACCTCGGGTAAGGAAAATGGAGATAGACGGCTGAGGGAAAAGAGAGGAAAAAAGAGGGCGAGAGAGATGGAGAGAGAATCACGGCGTCAGAGAAGAGCGGGTGAACCCGCCGAGTTTCATAAATATTTTCCGTATGGGCGTCGTCAAACTGATTTACGGTAGCTGAAGGACATAACGTAACGCAACGTAACGAGACTCGAGCGTTATATTTTATTGTCCATCGTTAGGAAAAAATTCGTAGAGAACGCGCATCGAGAAAGTTAGCGCGATATGCAGGACTCGACTTGAACTCAAAACTGCGATCGTTAGAATCAATGCGATCAAATTTTTAGAGAGAATAGAGGATGATCCGTCAAGAATCGTCGTACGGGATTCTGTGAGAGCAGATAAAATCCCTTTAATAGACAAGTAAAGCCATTCAAGACAAGATTCAAGGGTTATTAAGGGTGAGATAAAAAGGAGAGGAATCCTCCCCTCTACGTGAAATACGAGTGTTTGATTAGGAACCGTGTGTATTATTCGTGGACATGTATAGAGTGTGCTCGTGCATACGCAAATACGGCGATGTCCAAAAGGCAAATACATGCGACCGTAAGATAAGACTGGTTCAAGGCCTTCGGGATACCTCGCTCGTGGGATCCAGGAAGGATTCTCGCAATCCCGATCTCGCGGATTATTAGCGATAAGCCTTTTTGCCCTAAAACTTGTCTTACACGCTTCCCTCAGTATCGCTATTTCCTTGTTTTCGTTACAGTACGTGCTTTGGCCTAATCCGTCATCAATCCGTTAAAAAAAATCAAAGTTTCAAAATCGATTGAAAGATAACATAATTCATTCGAAGTTAAGTAAATATATTTAAAGGCCTGCGCACAATAGAGGAAATATTGGGAGTAAGAATAAATATTAAATTTTGAAAATTCGAAATAAAGATATCTATATCATATATTTACTTGTGTTCCATTGTGTATTACGTTTAATATTTATTCAGAATTTTCATTTTCAAAATTCACAGTCAGAAAATACAGGGCTTTGAGAGTCGTGATGATGTAATCATTCGATTAAAATAACTTCATTAAAAATGGACTCATCAATTAGCACAAATGAAAAGCACGAATTGTGCGAAAGATAAAATAAAAAAAGAAATTATCTGCAGCTGTACAAAAAAGAACGTGTCCTTCCACGTATTCTTCGTATTTGTATATGCAATTAATTTTAATGTAAATACAAAAGTATTAATAATGATAATGCCATTATTGCGATTAGATTTTTTTTTTAGAAAATTGAGAATTGCTTAAGAATAGCTATAAATATCGAGGCACAGCTGATAGTTTCCTTTCGGCTTAAAAGCTTATTTCCTAAAATACATGGCAATAAATTTTCTAAATTCGTGTCGTGCATACGTTGCTCCACGCTATTCTCTGTTGCTCTGCTATTCTTGTTAGGGGTTTGTATGGATATTTTTCTCTCTGGATACTTTGTACTATATTTTACAAATCTTACTAAATGTTCCTTATTTTTTAAAATTAGCTACTATATATAATATAAAGATAATATAATTTATGATTGTGATATATAAAAGATAACATTTATAGACTCAGTAAATTAAAAAATAAGCCAAAGGGAATAATGAATTGGATTTTTTGACGTTTTTGACGTTTTGACGTTTTTTTAAATTATTATAAAACAAATATGTACATATAAACATTTCGATCTGTAATTAGGTCAGTATGCTCCTAACGTCAACAATATGTAAACATAAAAGGTATTAAAGATTATTAAATACAAGTATAATTTAAACTAATATTTGAAAACGTCAGTAACAGAACAATTCGAACAGTTTCGAATCTCGAGATCCAATAATCCGAATCTTTCAAAGATTCTAAGATATGTTTAAACAATTTGAACTGTCAACAATTTGAAAATCACTCTAGCTCATTATGATATATGCGAGAATTAAAAAAAAAATAATTAATTATATAATTTTCACTTCAGTTTTATAATTTTTATTTTTCAAAAATAATTAATTTATAATTTTCATTTTAGTTTTATAATTTTCGTTTTTTAACAGGATGGTTATACATATTTAATAAACTAAATTTTCGTTATACCGTGCTCTCTCGTCATCGATTTTTTATTAAATGTAGTAGATTAATGCATTATGGTAGAACACATCAACGCGATGAGAAAGATAGTTTCTCGGAGTGTTTTGAAGCGAGATAATAACAACAGATCCACAAAAATGAATTCGGGAATTGAAGTATAAACAACAAAGAATAGAATATCTTGGAGGGAGACAAGACTAAAATGGGAGAAGAGCAAGTCATTTGTACCGAGTCGCCGAATATAAATACCAAAGACGAAGTTAAAAAGTCAGCAGTATAGGAGCGGACCAGTATGTGAGCTGTCACCTACACCAGCCTTGATACTCCTGATACGAAGAAGTCTTGGCCATAAGATCGAACGGTAGCATCTCGTACTACTTCATAATCGACATTTTAGAGTTTACGAAGAAGATTTTAGAATAAAAAGAAGAAGAACGTGGTAAATAAGATAATCATTTAACATTATCTTTTTGTTTTACAGGATGTCTCTTCTCGTTGTTCATTTTGAGAAATGGTTTTGGAGTTGCGAATTTTTCATAACAATTCTTTGACAGCGTAATACCGAGCTGCTTATTAGAATCGCAAAATTATACGATAATTTAGATTCGATCTTAACGTTTAACGAAATATTCAAATCACGCAGATCACATTAATCGTGCGCTATGGAGATGGTCAAGGACTACGTTGAAGGAAGTACCATGCAACGTCGTGATGCCGTGGACATCATCGAGGAATTCAGCTCCGAGCTGTCAAAGGTGCGAGGTAAATGTCTCGATATTGGATCCGGCCCTGGTGACATTACCAAGGACTTGTTATTGCCTCTATTGCCACACGACGTCGAAGTAGTAGGTACATGAATGAATGAAAATTTGGCATGGTGCATGGTTCCTTTCGACGATGACCTCGTGAACTTACACTCGTGTCTCACAGGTGCGGATATATCGCAAGCGATGGTAAATTACGCCCGTCAGAACAACAACGACGAACGACTATCGTACATCGTCCTGGATATCGAGGGAAGAATATCAAAGGAGCAAATCGGACAATACGATTATGTGACGTCCTTTTATTGTTTACATTGGTCTAAGGATTTATGGTACTTTTGTACATTTCTTTTGGTAGATAACAATTGAAGGAGAAAAGCTTTTAGAAATACAATTTTGTAATCAATTTTGTAATCAATTTTGATGTTTACTAGAAAGAAGTTGTACGAAAATATTTGTGTGTGTGTGTGTGTGTGTGTGTGTATGTGTGTGTGTGTGTGTGTATGCTTATTAATAGATATATTAATAAGTAATTAAGATTAAACAATTAATATATTAATAAGCAATTAAGATTAAGAAAATATGCATCCTGTATAATTTTTCTAATTAAATTATTAATTTAAATTATTAACTTTTTAGGCGGGCTTTCAAAAATATATACAAATTGTTACGTCCGAATGGAAAAGCGCTTGTGATGTTTCTTGGCTTTCATTGCGGATTCGAAGCATACGTGCGTCTCGGGCAAAATCCAAGATATGAATTTTATCTTCAGGTATCATAGTAATGTGTATTAAACATACACATTAATATACGATAATATTAAAATTGTTGAATGTTCATCTCTTTAAGGACGCACGACGTTACGTGCCATATTTTCAAAGAAAAATGTGCAAAAATATGAGAGCCAGTTTGCGAAAAATGTTGGAAGACATCGGCTTTGAAATTTTGCATTGCAGTAAGAGGGAAAAAAGTTATCAATACAGCAATCAAAGTTTAAAAAGTAACTATATTAATAAATATTATTTCAAATTAATAATTAATGAAGTATTATTAAATAGTAATATTATATAACAAATTATTAGTCACTGATAATACGTAAGCGTTATTTAAATCATAATAAAATTAATTAAGGTTTAAAGAAAAGTTTCTATTTTTTTAATTGGATATTTTTTAAATATCATACTTGTTTTTACAGATCATGTGTTAGCCGTTAATCCTTTTATAAAGAGAATACCTGATAATATGAAAAGTGAATTCGTGGACAATCTGATTAGCGAAATATTAAGCCAGAACGTTTTGACTCCGCTTGATAGCAAAAACAACGAATTAGTATTGAGATACTACCTCCTAATAGCGTATATAAAAAAACCGCAATCGGCCACTTAAGTGCCCAAAAATGTCTCTATATAAAAGATGATACAAAATTAACAAAATTATTTTTATCTTGTTTGCCATATTGACAAAATAATTAGAATATAGAATATTATATTATAATAGATTGTATATTATATTGGAGTAGTATATAATATTATAATAGAATAGTATATTATATTTTAATGTAACATCCATTATTGTTTTAAAAAATAAATAAATAAAAGATACTAATTAATAAAAAAAAAAAATGTGTCAAGTTATATTCGATATCTCTCTCAGCGAAACGTCAGTCCGAAAGAAAGTGACGAAAGGAGGAAAGAATAAATACGTCGCCTTTTGACCAGCTTGCCTCCTACAACACTAAATTTTATGTATATATTGTACGCTATATCTTTGATTTTACAATAGTACAGCCATTTATAGAGTATCGTTATTATAACTTACGGATCATCATATATCGTATGGATACAAGAGTGGGCATTACGGTATCGATATTCGCATAACGGGTAACAATACTTTTCTAATTCTGTTCTCTAGAAATTACATCCAGGCTTTTACAGGCTTTTACAAGTAGTCTTAAAATTGCCGGCATCGATCGTGTTTCACGCTCAGCGCGCGATTCTCAAAAAAAAAAAAAATCGACTAGCCTTGCCGAACCGGAAGATCGTTCAGGCGCACCAGCACGTTAATACCAATAGCATATATTGATCTTCGCCATAATTAAATGCATGAATATCATTTCCGCGATAGATTCCTTCATTTTAAACGGTTCCGGAAGTATCTTCTTCGAGCGACAGCGCGTTGAGATTCATGCGTCGAGTGGAAGCAGTCGTAACTTTACCATTGTATGCCACGAGATATCCTCCATTCGAAATTTCTTCGCATCATTCATTTGCATCGATGCGCACTGTTTTCCAGTTTTCAAGTGACCTCCCCTTGACTCCCGCATAAATTCATAAATCGCCGTGTAAAAACGCGTTCGGTGACGATCACACCGTGGGAACAAAAGTGCGGCACAAAAAGACATTCTTCGGCCGAGGATAAATTTTATTACGTGATTATATCGGATCTGAATATTGTATTCGGATGTTAATCAACAAGCTGTAGTCAATCGCAATGGAAGATGTATTTTAAACACTCGCCGCGTACAACGTATTGCACCTTACGCTCCTATGAACGTAATCGATAACGCGAAGACTTTTTTTAACTTTCAACATATTCTCGTTATCGGAACCTTCCACAAATATCCCTATCTCCCACGAACGAGGACATCACGTGTCACGGCAACCTTTCACGATTCCCTATATGATGTGATTCCCGTTAATTAACATAGAGTAACAAACGCTCTATAGCTCGAGTAGTATTCTTTATCATAATTTGCGAGAGTCATGAAGCATCCGATCCGACAAATGTCAATCGATCTACTCTCAAATCTCGCGAGCTCCATTGTCGAGCTCGAAATTTATGCAAGATAATTTTACGATTTAAAAAGAGAGATTTTTATAAACACGCGTTCGCGTCATTTTGCTTTGGATTACAGAGTGAGAGCTGGCAAAGAGGAGGTATTAATTGTAGATTCCAAATACATATTTGTTACTTTAAATCACTCAAATGCTTCAAATGTATTTTCAAGAGCAAGATTTGCGAGCGTCTGCAATCCGAATGCCTTGCAATTAATTTATTTTTAATTTATCAGCTCTGGGTGTCTTAGGAATGTCGAAATCGTAGGATTATTCGGTATACATTTATCGATTATGAGCTAATGCCATTACGGTAAACGGAGTGAACAAGTAACGCTTCCCTTAATGTGTACCGGTCATTTGGTAGTCTCTTAATTCGTAGAAAGGACATCGAACATCAAATATTTATTATTTAGAAAAGAGGAATTATTACCTGGATACAGAACAGCGAAGGATGATTGAGGGCAAGGCACAAGTGAGTCAGAGAGAGGAGAAATTATTTTGAATGAAATTAATCTCTATGCCTTAGTCGTTTTCCATTACGTATCTTTCATCGCGATTAAGATCGGTACATCGCGAGGTATACACATACATACACACACACACATATATATATATATAATTATATTATATTATAATCGGATACCATCGACGTAATTAATCGACAACTATTGCTAATAGCGGAACAAACATCTTATCTCTATCGATGCTCTCGCACTTTCTCATCTCCATGCGCTCGATGCAGCGCGATTAATAATTCATCTCCCTTATCTTTCTTTAAAGACCGAAAACATCGGACGAGCATTCCGCATGTGAGTCTCCGTTGAAAAGAATAATTTGGAAGACAATGCCACGCGACACAAAAGTATAACGTAAAGGATATCGTGAGATTTACATCTGCGTATATTTCGTAAAAATATGCAGAGACGCAGAGAATGAAAGAATTGTAAATTCTAAGTTCTCTATGAAGCGAGAAAAACCTTGAATTCGGGAAATACAATTTTTTTTTTTATAAAGCAAAATATCTAAATATAAAATAAAAATTACGATAAAAGATCTTTACAAATTGAAATTAATGATTTGTAGAAAAAAAAATCATAAAAAGATTTATAATAATTTTAATATAATGATAATAATCATATGATATAATAAAAAGATTTATAAACAGAGAAAGAAGAGAACTTTTTTTCTACGAAAACTTTGTAAAATCTAAACAAAGAATATATCTAAACAAAAAATATATCGGATCCTAATTTAATAATCTGTAGAAAAAAAATTGCAAAAGTTACTTATTGAAATAAGATTTCTGTTTGAAATCTGATTTCTTCAGAGACCTTACTATGCCGACGCTTCAATTTATCTACCAATCATGACGTAAAAAATCGTTACATGAAAAAAGCAAGCTGAAATTTCGCTCTTAATAGCGTTCTCTTTCCGATTCGATTCTTTGCCACGCATATGTCCTGCGTATCGAGTAGTAGCAAGTATTGTTCGAGAACTACGCTTACTATAATCTCTCATTTATCGCAAAAGAGCGAGAGAGAACGCGAATAGAATACGTTAATTATGCATTTAAGATCATTGCTGCTTAGGTACTTTTATTGTGAGACGTTTGTCGTTGGATTTAGCGCGGATGAAACGAAATGCGCGGCAATTAAAAGTTATAAGATCACATAAAAACTTCTCATAAATATGAACAAGATGCTGAAGCATATAATAGAAAATTTTTTAAATAAATAATTCAGATGCTATTGCTAAAAATCAGAGTAAAAGCATAACTATGCCTCAAGTCTCATGTTGCCTAATTATGATTAACATTGTTAAATTAATTAATATAACAACAGATAATCTGATTGACGTAACTTAAAATAAATTAATCATAAAACGGGAGAGGAAAGTCGGGAAAGTAAAATACAAAATGAAAGACGTGTGAACACAACAAATTATTATAATCTCTCGTTTCGCCATTTACAAAACGGAGGAGTATAATCGACGACAAACGAAACTAAACGTCGATGAAAAAATAAGAGATACAACCAATAAGAGATACATAAAAAATTATGACACGTTGCAAAAGTAATAGTAAAGAATCGACGTTAACGAGATGATCGAACGTGAATTGCTGGCATTAAGTGTAACGAATTCACGCGGTGCATCGTCGTTTATGTTCACCGCGCCTAAGCTAAGAGGGAAGACGAAATCGTTTTGTACGGGGGGGGGGGGACTATTATCGGTACAAAGTAGATAAACGTATACATCTGTATATGCCGTACTTTGCCATGCGGGCAATACCGTTGGATGTTCGCACAATCGCGCTGAATTACAATCAAAGAGTTATTTGTTGTTCCTGTCCCTTCGCGCTTTCTCTCTTTTCTTCTCTACGCATCCCTATCTCTTTTTTTTCCTCTCCTCTTTTCATCACGCGTAAGCATCGCAATTAGACGCGTCTAGCATTCTACGACGCAACGCTACATTACAATCTCAACGATCAAGCTCTCGATCGCGAATGGAATCGTTGAACATAAGATTCTCACGCTGTACTTAAATGCGTTTTTTTTTTTTTTTAAGCTAGTACGTTCGCATCCTGTGAATCAAGATGATATTGCTAACTTACACGCACACACACACACACACACACACACACACACACACACACACACAGAGTACAGCGTGTAAGGCGAGGTTCTTCGGAGTAGAGTTCACTGTCAACTCGGACCAGCAATGCAGGCTCTCTATAGATATCGTCGTTGCATCTTATTTACATACATCGAATTACTTGAATCTACTTCATTGTTGGTTGAGAATTGGCGATTTTAGCGTTAAGCTGCTAAAACTGATAGACAATGCAAAAACACGTGGCTGCGCAGCGGTAAGAATTCTAATATCTTAAATACCGGTGCAGCCTAAGCATCGACCGCCAGAGCATTAGAAAGAAGAGATCGTGTATACATATACGTTGTTTTATTATATATATATATATATATATATATATATATCTTGCTTTCTTCGTAGACGTATCCGCCGAGAATTTTTTTCGCTGCTTCGACGCTGGATCGAAGAGGGACGCAATGTCGAGGACAATAGTACGGTCAGGTACGAAGAATCGTTGTTAGGAGATCCTCATTATGGCAAATGCGAAGGATTGATACGACGGAGAGACGCGATAAATACGGATAAGTAGTGAAAGATCTTGGATAAACCTATCGCGAGTAAACGATCTAACATCTAATTTCGATAGCGGCGGACGTTTAGACGCTCCAATTTGAACCTCGGGACAAGCAGCAAAAGTGCAATATACCTTCTAAAAGAACGGAACAATACATAGCTGAGCCAAGTCACTACAATCGTTTGTAGGCCGTTTCAAACTACGCGTACTTTATGTATAATATACACCTGCGATTCTTTTCGCGATTGCTCTAGAACGACGGACACACACTCGTTACGGTGATCTTCGACGAAAGCTCTTACGTGCTTTGTAAATATCTATTTGGCAAACCTTAGTCGGCACCTTGAAGAGGCACCGTCACTGGAATCGACCACCTTGGCGTAAACACCATAAACATTCTGGAAGTAGCGCTAAAAGTCTCTCGAGTCGAAATTGTTTCGCTCAAAATGGAAAAACTATGGAAAAAAAAAGGGGGGGAGGAAAGAATAACGCCAGAGTGATCAAGACAGATAAGATTGCAGGTACAAATTGGTAAAATCGTAACGCACGCATCCGAAGATCAATCGACATGGCGACTAAATAACAATCCGTCCACGAGCGTGTTCGTCGTAACGTAGAGAAACTCCTGTTTTCCTATAGCTCTTATAGTAACAACGATTATGCTAGCGCTACCATTTTTCTCTTTATAGCTATCCTACGATTAACAACATCAACAACAACAACAACACATATATATATAATATATCAACGTGAATATATATAATTATTTATATCCCGTTAACGTAGATGTATATTTATCCTATGTACACTTGCATGTGTTGTGTAACGTACATATACGCGTACATATGTACATTACACGAATGTAGGAAGAAAATAATGCTAATCATGTACCGAGCAAGTATGCGATATATCCAGCTATACAATACGCAGGAAAAGATCTTCGACAAAATATATCTGGTCAAAAGACATAAATGTATAGATAGATCACATCATATGCAAAACGGCTGTAATCGAGGAATTGGACGCAATAATAGCGTAAATTACTTGATAATATCCTTTTTATAATTTGAAAAAACGAGCTTCGAGTTTAAAATTCATATCATTCGAACGAGAAAAGCGACGCTGACAAATAAATGTTATTCGCTAATGATATTCCGATATAATATACAGGTATAATAAGTATAATGTACAACTGCATAAAGAATAATAGTGTAAATTCGATTTCCAATTCCTCAATTAACAAAGATTAACGAAACTCACGATAAATACCAACTCGGTAAATACCACTGGAACATAAGGAAAATTTATATAATTCAAAGTACGCATTCTATATATTTGCTCGCTGTTACCGCTTATAATTATTCCGTATGCACACGACATCATTAACAGATAATATAGCTTAATTATATATTCAAAAAGATCGCATGCTTCATTGCCATAACTTGACGTGAGAGAAAAGCCGAGATCGTTCTCTCTTTTTCTATATACACATATATTAATATTGCAAACTCGAAAAAGATAATTATATTCGCAAAGTAAACGCTCATGCTAAAATCTGTTTCGTCATAGAGAGGCGAAACATCCGAAAACTTATGAATGTAACAAACGAACGTTCGACAGGAAGAAAATCCTCGAAATAAATATCAGTGCGCTGAAGAAAAAATATATATCAACAGCGTGTAGACTACAGAAATCCAGTGTGCCATGTAATGTATCACGTTTAATATCTTAAATTAATTTAATTTCTTTTATTATATCACCGCAGGAGTTGCCCCGTAGTGTCACAAAGGATGAGCATTTCATCCAACGTGGCATTCGTCCAACTTCGCAGAGACATATCGATTTCTTCATATACGCCAGAAAAAAATCACATGTATATGTGCACATGTATATTGTGCTAAACACTATCCATTATCCTTATTACAATTATTTATCATTATACATGACTGGATAAAGTCACTTGCGTCTGTTCACGACGCAGGCTACAACCTCACGAATCGGTAACTTCGGTTTATTTAAAATAAAAAATCGCAATAATTAATGTCGACTAAAAAATGGTAACTCTGTGTACTTTTTAAAGATAAAATAT